TGAAACATTGAAAGATAATTTGATATAATTTATACTGATGATTAAGATGGTGATGATAATAATGATTAATATTTATAAACACGATGCTGGCATTTCTGATTGGCTGTTGTGTTTCATTTGCATACCGAGGCACGGCAAATGACTCTGGCGCTCGCGTCATTAACTTCAATTTCCCGCCTTTTTTGGCAGCTTAGTTTTCAGTAACGATAATCTCTTAGCTATAATCTAATTTCCTTTATCTGCAAACAAGTCAACAATATTCCTTGAAAAACTTTTTTTCGTAAGAAAGGTATTAAATTTTATCAAGTTATATCATTTTCAAACGAAACTGCCTCTGTCTAAATTCAAATTCTCCAAACTACATCCATATTTCTCTGTTTCATCACTAAGCTAAAACATGGAGAGCGCGTTGCATTGTTTCCAAATATGCCCCGCTCTTTTGTTTCAATATTTTCGTTTACAACCTTTGCTGTTCAATGATAATTATCAAATTACCTCAACGTATTTCATGACATCGTCATAATCAACATTATCAAGTGTGACTGTTGCCACAGCATCGTCATCAACGTCTGACACCTCACTTTTGTCTATCAGAATATGGTGAAATTTTGCGCTCTTGGTTGCAAGAATAAACTTATGTGCAGGAATGATTCGTCCTTTGACCTGATAGATAAGGTATTTTGATTAATCTAAGTCATATAGCCGTATTTCACCAATGAAGTAAACAGAAACCGAGATTAACAACGGTGAAGGTAGCGAAATGGAGGCTTTTTTTCTTCTTCTTCTTCCTTCGCTTCTTCAATGATTCTTTTTTGGTTCGCTGGTTTTCATATACGCGAAGCATATTTCGCTGTTTTCTTGTCCGTTTCTGCCCACTTCACAAGTGAAAAATAACCTTGATTTATAAAAGTAAATATGTCATACATTGTACGGTTGTACAGCCAAAAGAATAGCGACTACAATCGTTGCCAAAAACCTTGGACCTCGATTTTAAACTTAGCTATTTTTAGCATTACCATATAAGAAATGCACCCCCCTTGACCCCCTAAAGGCAATGTTGTGTGGAAATGGTTGCAATGTGATCGTTTTGCGACTGTCCAAACGACAAAAGCATCCAAGGTCACTAGCAATATTGCTCCAGGGGGGATGGGGGAACAAGTACTGAGATACACGAATATAATTATAGATATTGTACAAAAAGAACGCTACGGTCCAAGGTATTTTGTCGACGATTCCCATGATATTCAAAAGATAAAAGACCGACGGCCATGTTGGTAAAATGAACAATAGGTACTAATGAGAAATCCTTTGTTGAAGTTCCTCCAAGATGGCCGCTGTGACGCAACTTGAAAACGAAGAATTCACAAAGWGCCTACTCAGTGCTTGGCAATCTTACCATCAAATTCACATCATGTATATCATCATCAACAACTGCTTCCTCCAAAAGTTGTTTGAAATCACTACACATCGTAGATGGACCGACCATAGGATGTGACTTGACTCTRAAACACAAAAACAGCAAAACAGATGATGTTAGAGCGCTTTCAGTAAAAGTRTGAAACACTAATTCCTAAATTGTACAAAATATTGGCAGTTGAACAAAAGAATTAGCATAAAATAGTGCAAAATAATATTACTAATTTTTCACGCACTCTAGCTGTCCTCAATTAGTGAAAATTATCGGCAATTGGTTTGACAACAAAATTATGTTAAATATGATCAAAATCCTTTGTCTTTGATTGTTTAMAAAATGACTTTTTCGCACTTGTCAGTTTATACTAACGTAACAGATTGCAGGAATATTTTTTCGTTTTATGACCTCAAATGTTTGTAGTTCACTTTCCACCACTGTAATAACATTCTATAACATCAGATTGATGAGATCAACTCAAAAACCGCGCGCAATTTCAATATACATTTTTTTACATTGACATTTTTTCATGATTACACTTTTTAAGTTACCCAGTTGATGGATCAACTTGTAGTACAGCGAATCCCTTTGACTTTCTATCTGTAAAGATCCTAATCCCCCGATGCACCATGGGACATCTTTTTACATCATATTGAATAAGAACGTCCTTTTGGTCCCAGTCTCTCTCCTGACTGGGTGAGTTTGATGATGATGATCTTGATGGTTTAGTCATYGGTGCATCGCCGCCAGCCTTTGTACAGGTATACAATTCACCAACATCTACAATTCATCAATTTAACATATTTAGTGTAATAATTTCTGACTGGCTGAACTTATGCCTTTTCAACGTTTTTATAGCTAGTTGTAGGGATTCAAATGATACCACAGTTGTAGCCATGTTGTAAGGATGACTTAGGCATGTCGCATGCAATACTGGGAGGCAAACATTGTGCTGTCTGATTCGAACTTAATATTGCTGCGATAGCTGTAGCCATGATATAAGGATGACCATAACAGGTAGCAATCCATAGGAGAAGCTGACGGGTTCCTAGTGGAAGACGTATATCTGTTCTTATGTCCCAGCCAGCTGTATGCCACAACTGGTTGCCAGCGGGAAATACAGGAAAAAAGGAAGTCTCCAGGCAAGCAACACTTTCTAATAATTTTTGCCAGGAAAGTACAAATTTCCTAACTAAAAATATATAAGCCGTTTTTAACCATAAAAACGTTTGCCTTGGTTTGGCAGGAACAAAATTATTTTACAGAAGGAAGGGTGCCACATTTGCTTGTGAGATTGTCAACAATTTAGCCAAAAATCCTTTCCCCAGGAATAAATTCGTACAAGAACAGTTATTAAGAAAAACAGCCCCAGTCGTCTCCCCCTGTCTTTAGAATGGTTAATTCTTCGTGTTTTAATGTATTAAGTCCAACCTTGTGCAACTCACCAGTTAATATATAAAGCTGTTTTCCTATTGCAACATCAGCAACTATAAAACAAAGTTTAATAAAACATCAGGGGCTGGTTGTACGAACGGTGAATAGTGCTACCCACTGGATAAATCCTTATCCATCAGATAAAATCCATACAAATCTATTGAGTTGATAACTTTATCTAACCTTCATAAAACCTGCCACAGAAATAACTGACTAAAACCATTTATAAATACAATACAAATAGTACAAACCTTGAAGTTCTTTCYTTGACATCCATTTAGATTTCCGTAATGAACCAAACGTGTCTTTCCACTGATACACCTACATTGTTCAAAGAAGAAAGTTCATCAAAAATAGTGACCAAATATTAAAAGAGATTTTAGTCAGGTTAATAAAATAATAATAAGGCTTGTTTACAAGTCCCGCGACCATCGCCAGAGTTTCGAACATGCTTAAAAATTGGCTGCAACTTCGCGGCGATTTTCCATCGCCGCAACAATCGCAGGGCTGTTTACACGTATGATTGTAGTTGTGCGATAGCAAGGTGGCGATTATTCGGCGCTGCAAAAATCGCGAGTAAACGGTCCTGGAGTCCTTCACATTTTAATGATAGGTAGATTTTCTTCTCATCCAGGAATACATCAGTCAGTTTTATAAAATTTCTAAAGCACTATCTCATTGGCTGATATATGACCTTCTTTACATCACAGTACAGAGATGATTTGTGATGCACACTTGAAAAAGCCAGAATAATTTCAAAGGCCATGCACATCTCATTGTTCTCTTGTAAACACAGTCAGTGGAATTTTCGGAGTGCTTGAAAAACAAGAGAAACACCTATTGTTTTAGGACTTTCTCCTGTTTGTTGTGAAGCAAGCTCGATTCTTTCGTGATTGCACAAGAAACTACATTATTTTGCCTTTATTTCATGGATATGGCACACTTACCAATCCATTCCTATTCAAGAGAGTCAAGGTTGGTTTTTCATGATGTTTTATGATGTCATGGTTCATGTTCAGTTCGACTTCACCTCCAGAAACAACAAGTCTTGTCAGCTCTAAGAACCTGTGATAAAAAATGCTCCAATTTAATTTAAACCATCTTTTGTTCAATAGTCTTTTTTAACGCACTTGTGTGAATTCTCATTCAATGGTTGCCTGATTAGAGTGCCAGTAACACTCTCTCAAGCTTTGTCTTTCTTGCATAGTCATTGACACCTAAATACACTATTCTCTTATCTTTAGGGCTAATGCATATAATTTTCAGATTTACATGTCTGACTATCATTAAGAAAAGGAAAAAAAGTTTTAACAGCACTACATAGCCTTGCATAAGTCTCTCCTGCTTGTTTAATTGGAAAATCAATCATCACATGATAGTAAACAATGAGAAACGTGGGCTGTGTTGAGGCAAGGACAAGCAATTTGGCACTTAACAATCCTTATCTTGTATTTACATCATAGAAAATAACTTTAACTTAAAAGTCGAGGAAAGTTTACAGAGTACAGCATGGTCATGATATGAAAAAGCTGTTTATTTTATGCACACATATGAAATGTGCCTTAGCAAATATAATATTACCTTGTGATAATTTTCTGACATGTGTACTGACTGAGTATAAAGATATCTCCTTTGCTTGTTGCACAAACAGTTGCTGAATCCACACAWGACACCATGACGATGGTGATGTCCTTTTGATACAACGAAGTTACCTGCCAATATAATACTGAACWTCAATAATCCAGTTTCGTATTCTCCAATGCTCTGTGTTAGCCTCATTTGTGCGCAAAATATTCCTAATTGTGAGAATAAAAGTGTGAGATTTCAAATCAATTTTATTGTTTTTCTTCACAAATTCCATGCRTTTTCTCGGGCTATYAATAAAACAAAAGAATATKTTACTTGGTTTTGAGGCTAACACAGAGCAAACCAGAACTCGAAATTGGAGTATTTAACACCTTGAAAGTTGGYATCATCAGGCTGACCGATAGATTGGACAATGAAACATCAAAACTCTAATGGATAATATTCAATTSAATTCCTTACATACCAAGTTGTCACTATGACCTCATACTGTATGACGTCGATATGATGTCATATCAATCTATGGTTATCATGCTTTTTTGCCTTTGAAAGGGGGTCACAGGCACCCTGTGACCCCCCTGGATACGCCCCTGTAAAGGTCTTCTACTCATATTTTAAATATTTACTAAAAACATTAAACAAACCAACTTTTCATTGAAGATCTTCATTCATTGAAGAAAAAAAACATCTAACCACTTTTGATGGGGAATATTGCTGCAACTTTCCATCATGCATTGAAAACAGCTTGAAATAGCTCAGTATACATGCATGATTGCACTACTAATACAAAATTGCTTTAAAAATATATGTACCTGTCTAGGACTTGTAATAAACCTTTCACCTTTAAGATGACCTGCAGTAAATAAATTATTTACCAC